CAAAAGAGTTGCAAGAAGATTGACTGGACTTCTGCGTACTCTTGAAAGCCTTGAAAGCCCACTAAGTTCGAGAGTCACACCCCCACGGCACCGCAGCGGCACACTATCGCAACAAGACCATAAAGAGAGAGATAAGTGTAGTTGGCTCGAGTAGACTGGCACACATTAGAACTCACTTGAAAGCACCGACAACGCTTGTCGTCCCAGCCTTGGAGTGCTCAACTTTAGGCACCTTGCAAGAAAATGTGTACAGTTTGTATCCGTATACTCTTCAAGATCTAAACACAGTATGTGTGTGGGCGATGAAACTAGTGTCAGTGTCAAATATAATTATGCAGTCCAATCTGATGTCCAAACCAACCAGTCAGAGTCTTGACCCGTTAAAGGAGATTGCAATCTCTTATGTCTTCCTGGCAGTAAACTTCTTGACACAAACGATAGAATCTATAGATTGCTGTAGTCTTGATACAGTTACAGTCTTTGTGTCTTCGATGTGACCGTATCGGAAAGAGCTGATCGTCGTGCCTCCGGAGGTGGAAGTCCTGCCACTTGCTCTTCTCCCCTGTCACTGGCTTGTGCCTGTATTGATTGGCGATCGACAAGAAGACTGTATTGCAAGCAATCCTTGCTGGCCTGTGCCAAAGCTTAAGGGGAAAGCCCCCATTAAAGTCATTACTGTAACGATCTTGCCCATGCATGTCACGTCTGATGCCATCATGCTCTGGTCTGATGTTGGCGGACCAAGTCAGCACGCCAATCGCGGAAGCATGGCAAACATGGGTGTCCAAACATGTTTTCTCTCCAGCAGCGCGCATGTCAACAGTTGACAGAACCTCTTCACCCATCTTTGCCCTGTATATAACAATATATCTCCCTATATTTTAAGTAACTACTTAAATCCTTCTTTGCTTTACCAAGATCATCAACAACGAAATGAACAACTTCATTGAATATGCAAGTGCGTGTCCACTTGCACATGTTGGAGGAGTGTGATTATGACATGCCAAAAACCGTTCTTGATCCACAACGTGTACAAATTGGGCTTGGCATCTCTGTTTGTTTGTGTGTCTGCCAAGACAACGCATCATGGACACACCTTCTTGACTAAGCTGAGTAGAAACAAACTTGTCCACACCTGTCCAACCAATACTTGGACTGTTGCACCTGACAGTAGTAAGAATCAGCCTTTATCTAGACATGGAGCAAAAACGAAAAGAACGACAAGTTCTGGCGCATGCGCCTGAGCCAAACTACTGGTCTCGGCTTCTTCTCCTTCTGTCCTTCCTCTCGCAGCTCGCTGCTCCTTGCCGGGCAGGAACGCACACGGAGACTATCAAGCCCCGCATGCGACAATGTGCATCGTGTGCCAAACAGCAGAACAGCAAGTGGAGCAAACTCTTGAATAAAGGGATCAACTTATGAGCGTGACAGGTATCGCGGCCTTTCCATCAACATGCTCTGGAATTCCACTTGAACCACCTTCGCTCTCTCCTTCTGATTGTCCAACTCTGCTGGTTCAGCATCGCTGTCGTCTCTTCTCGCACGTTCTTCTTTCTTTGCCTATTCGACTATTCGACAAGCAGCAACGAGCTGCTGAAGATGCCTGGAGTCTTCAACTCTCAGGCTGAAAGCCTTCAACAACAGATCTCTGGGCATGGTTGGAACGAAAGGTGATCGGATCTTCTGAAGGTTGGGTTCTTGTTTCCATCGGAACAAAACTGATGAGCCTTCCACCGCAAACAGACTTGATTGGGAACAGTCAAGCCTGTTAAGCCTGTTGATACCAGTACATACTCTTGAATTGCACAGGTTGTTTTTTAAAAACTGCTTGGAAATGACTCAAGTCCTTGAAGCCACCTTCAGTGGAACCATCGGTAACCATCGGCTTATATCGGCTTCCTCGCCCACCTCCGAATCTCCGCGCAGTAGCAATCCCACCGGGGCCTCTGGATCCAGGAGGAAAGCAACCAGCTGGCGAGCGTCGTAGCCTTCCCCTCGGCACTCGGCACTGGGCGAGGTTCGGGGGATTTGCGAAGCTGCCCGTGCCGTGGGGCGTCGCTTGGGTGTGCCGTTTGGGGCGCCGTTTTGGGAAGCGTTCGAACGGAACTACCCATCAAGGCAAAGCGTATACCACTTCTTATACGTCTTGTGGGGAAAGCATGGTGGGATATGGTGGGTATAGGCGGTAAAGGTCATCGGTTGGAAATGGTTGAACATGGAACATTGAATTGGAATCCTTGACGTCTGAGGAGCAAATTGGTCACAACTCCACCCAGCTAGAAACTTGACACACCTAGCCCATATACCTGCCTATGAGTGGCTATGAGTCGCTAAAGCTTACGGTATGGTCTTTACAGCATAGAGGGGGAACAGCCTGGCCAACGCTCCATGCTGTTGTGGGTGGCGATCCCTGTCCGCAAAAAAGGATCAAGGTGGGTTTCCGTGGCGGTTTCTTCTTTTTCTCGATTGCCCTCGGCCAAGCAGCTAGTTGATGGCACGTTTTTCAGCATATCCTTGGCAAGATTGGCAGCATTGCTGAAAACTGGCAACAGGTCACTATCTTAACCACATCATTTCAAAAAGAAAAAGCTAGTCTCCTCCAGCATCTCCTCCGAGAAGTGATTACCTTGGCTGCCATCTGCACTTCTTTTGACCCTTACCAAACTTCCGAAAAAGAAAGGCTGGCAGGAGTAAGGCTGAGCAAGAGAGAAGGTGACATATAGAAAACACAGGAGTCGAACCTCTGGAGCCTCGTCTTGAAAGGTTTCATCGCCGTGCTCAACCCCTGAGCTCCCGACCTCCGTGCTGCATGATCTCTGCGACAGTCTCCCGCGGCACGAAGCCTCGTTTGACAGAGCTTGTCGAGTGCAAACTTGAAGGCTTGAGTGGATGGGCTTCGAAAACACATGGACCGAAGCCTCAAACTAAACAAACCACTTATAGATTGTGGCAAACATCAAAAACAACAACTCTGAAACTGGGTGCAGATCGAGTTCTGCACAGCTTGTCTCGATTCTGGGTGGAAGGATGTGGCAACAAATTGGAGCCCACAAAAGCACCAAGCCGGCAATCCTACAACATACACATATCACATCACATAATATGGTCAAGACGTCTAATTTATAGTCCATATATGTCCATATGCATATGCGGATTGCCCACCCTAGTCTTCTGCAGTTTGCCTATCACCGAAACCTGCCAAGCCACCGTTGTCCTGTGGGTCAAAGAGTCGGAAGCAACTGGGCAGTTCCTGCACCTGGGCCGCGAAGCGGCAGTTCCTCCATGCGAATCTCCACGCCGTCGACGTGCTCGGAGAGTCTCAGACCCAGAAGGGGTCTCATTCACACCGGGAGGGTGGAAGAATCGAAGTGGACGCGGCGAACGCTCACTCCGTGAGGGACTTCTTTTTGAACATTCTAGCAGTGAGCGTGTCTCAGAGGTTCAATTTATGGAGAAAAGAGGAAGGTTCTGGCCCATTCATCTGTGGCACATTGCGAAAGCCATGATGAAAAGATCATTCGAAGTGACATGAACCCTGCCAGCTGTTCCCTGTACATCAAACAACACATCCAACTGAGACTTGAAAACCGCCACCGGGCGGTAAATAGAACCTAGTATACCATCATTTCATCGTCATCGCATCATCCCTCGGCATTTCGTCAATCCCCCCCTCACTCACCCAGGAAGTCGCTTGCCGCGCGGCGCCTGATCTTTTGACGTCCACTTTGCGAGCTCGTCCTGTTCGACGTGTGGTTCGACGCTCCAAAAACTCGCAGCTCTCGGCATCGGTGATCTCGAGTCGTGGCTCGTAACACAACGAGCATCAGCAAGTGAGCCATTGCCAGTCCCCATCAGCTCCAAAGAGAGGAAGGAAATTGAAAAGTGCCAAAGAATGACGCTTTCACCTGAACCCAGCAATCAAATTAGTTGGTGAAAGTGAAAGTTTTTGGACAGTTCGTCAAATCACTTGGACAGTGGGAGATGTGGTTTGCAGTGGTTGCGGCTCGCCTCCCCGAAAGGACACACCAAAAGACACGCCACTCATCCCAAGTTCTCCGCTCTCTCCTTCATGACCTGCTTGAACTCTGGCAGCGTCAAGCTCTCCGGATTCCCGATGTCCTCCAAGACCTTGGAGACCTTCAGTTGGTTCAGAAAGAAACCTTGGACACTTGTGCTAAGAACAAATCCACCTCCAATCAAAGCGACTATGGGATACTTATGGGGGGGCGGTTGTCAAAGCCAAAGCAAAATCCTTCAGCAATACATGAAGAGAAACAAAGCAAAATCCCCAACGGATCTGTCGCTTTGTGGATCCTCTCGGACCTTCTCCTCGGATCCTTCGGATCTGCGTCCGTCCTTTCTCCACGGATCCAACGGCGAGGTCCGCGCCTCGGAGTCTTTGGGGTTCATCCCGGCGATGTGCAGGGCGTCGCCCAAGTGAGAGGCGTTCAGCACGGCCGTGCGGGGCTCCTGAAGGTGTTCCGGCAGGAGGCTGCCGCTAAGTTCTGAAAGCTGCAGTCTTTAGGGTTAAAGTCATCTCCAGTATCTTTCATGTCTGAGAAGAAACCGTTGAGGCACTGATGGATCACCATACTCACACGAAAAGACCTCTTTCCAAGACACACATATTGGTGAAGCGCAGCTCTGCCCGATTCGCAAACCTGAGTGGTGTTCTCCAGACAGCACAGTCCCACCATGGAAGCACATGGACGCCTATCACCAGCAGGTTAAGCGGCAGCAAACGACGCTCGTAGCGCACACGTCTGGCACCCATCCCCAACCTTCTCGCCACAGGAGCAGCCTTCGACCACGCAAAAGCACCATCGCGCAAGCCCCACACACAAACACTACCCCGACTGGTGTAGCTACCAGTATTTGATTCAACTATTATTCATGAGCTTTCTCAGTGAGGTGTCCGACTCAAACTCAGAGTTTTTCCACTATAGAATGTTCACTTGATCATAAAGTTCTCAAAAAAGAACAATCAGGGATATCGCACATCAGAGTTAGTATAAACAACTCAGGTCCTGGAACATCTCGATCACCTCCTCGAGCCGGGCCTCAGTGGAGCACCAAGCAGAGACTGAATAGCTGGGACAAGGTTGGGATAAGCTCAGGTATAGGCTACAGTGGTCCGTGTTTTTGCAAACTGAGTTCCCATGCGCTCAAGAAACAAACATCAAGCTCACTGCCATGACATGGCATGGAGTCACTTAACAGCTACACAATCCATCATTTGCATCTGAAATCCCGAACTGCCAAGGCACATCAAGCTCGTCGTCGTTCCACGGGTGTATGGATGCTGCCTCAAATTCCGAACAACTCCTAAACAGTGCTTCGAACCGGCCAATGTGAACTCTGATACTCTCTCCTTTGTTAGTTTCCATAGGTCCGGCATAATTCACTAATGTCTTCATGTACTCACAAAGTTTCTCAATAGTACGCTTTCCAAACTTCTAGCTATGTACGTTTTTGTATCATTCCAGCGCTTCCTTCAAGCACAAATCAATCTGGCATCCAAACGGGTGCCCCTGCACTTCAAGAAGGGCGCAACTGCTGAATGGCCCAAGTTCGGCAGACCAAGCCCATCCCAACCTCTCTCGCTCTCTATGTTGGTTTCCATGTCAAACATCTATAGCATGCTGTCATGGACCGGCTGTGAACTGTTACTAGCATCTGTCCCACACTCCTGCGAAAGTGATACCCCCTCCAAAAAGCCTCCCCCTCTCTTTTCCCAACCACCTTGCTCAACAACCTCACCCGACCCCAGGCCTGCTTGCAAAGCTGCACGCGGATGGCCTCGCACTCGCTCACACTACCGAATCGGTGAGACGTCGAGTTCAATCGATCGATCAGTCGAGATGTAAGTTGTGATGATATGTATATAATGCTCATTAGCTTAAGTGGTTGCTCCTCTTCTTCTTTTAAAGAAGAACCCTTCACTCAGGCACTCGGGAATAATATCAAATCTGAAAAGAGGATCACTTGGGAAGCCTAGATTGCAGTGTTGGCAGATGGCCAAACATCCCAAAAAAGGAAGACACCCAATTCACAGGATGAGACTGTAGGTTGGCACGAGCGGATCGATGTGTACCATGTCATCACCTCTGCCTGATGCATTCCTATGGACTGATCAGCAGCTGTGTATCAACATGTGAATCAACACAAGCATAGCTCCTTCTCCCAACTCTCCCAGTCCTCGCTTTCCGCACTTGCTCGACTCTTCTCTTCCTCCGCATCACTCCGGATCACTCAGCATCTTCAAGCCAAGCCAAGTGAGCAATCTTTCAGACCATTCCGATGTGAAGAATGAAGACTCATATGGCCGTGAACCGAAACCTGGAGCCCCAAACAATGGTAGATTTACCCTGCTTGGTAGGTCATTGGTTTTCCGTTCATTCGCCAGGTGGTCAACCAAGGTGTCCCGGTTTTGACATGACTTGATGTTCTTCCTGTCCACATAGAAAGAGATCCTTGGGGAAATCGCAGTTCAGACCTTTTTGAATCGGACTCCCATCGGGATCATCTCAATCATTTCCCTCCAGAGCCACATCCAAAGCCATCCAAGAAAGAACACTTCTCCACTCTCCTGGCTGCTTTTCAGTGTGTTTAATGACAGTCGCAGTATATGATTTGAGGGAATGAATGACTTCACTCAAGTCGAATTTCCACATCCTACCCCTCTATTGGGAAATGCATCGAACTTCGATGGGAACTTCATGAAGGGAAAGTAATACATCCTCCCACCACGTGGAATTGTCCACATCCTCCCACCACATGAGGCACCTGAGGAGGTGCCTCGAGCCGCGCGCCGATGGCCTCGTCCGAGCCCCAGGGGGCGAGTTCGCCCGGCTCTGATTTCCACGTCACCACATCTCGTAAGAAAATGCGCAAGATGCTCTGAATGGTGCTTATTTATAACTAGTGCAGATCTGCAGATCCTGGTTTGATCCACCAAGCTGCTTTAAGAACAAGACAGGTGCCGGTCCGATCCAGCACCAAGCATCGTAGATCAGCTTAATTGATGTTTTGGAGCACTTCAGTCAGGGCTTGAGCAGTAGCACTTTCCATTGGCAACCCAACGTAATCCATGGATGGCTGCTGGTGAAAAAATCGAAAGGCATCTGGAATAATGCAAAGGGAGGGCAGTCTATCAACCAGCAAAAGATCGTGATGAAATGGTGACAAATTAACTTAATTACTGTATCTACACTACATCCAGTTGGAACCTCCCAAGACTCCCACACAAAAGAGTCAGCGCCATCACTCCCGCGGCCTTCTGAAGTGCTCTACATGTGGATTTGCTCAGATTCACGACAAAGTCCTCCAACTCTGCCGATTCCATCTCGTTAACCTCGAAGTGAACAACGATGAGTTCCACAAGTGCGGAATCATGAGTCGTGTCCCAAACAGATCGAAACGGATATGAATCATGCAGATATAGGCGAATGGTGTTTTATCATGTGTCTATCCCTCTATCTTGCATGACTCTACAGAGTCGGCTCATCCCCTTCGTGAAGACCTCCAGTCTAGTCTATTGCCCAGGTCTACGTCATTTCTACGTTGCAAGTTATCCACCACCGACTCCCGGTCGGAAGATTGCCATCAAAAACGTCCCAGTCACGGTCGCTGCAATGCGCCAACCAAGGGTGGTGGACTCCGGGCCAGAGTTGGACACCAATTGACGAGGGGCCTGGTGCATGAGACCCGGACAGAAAAATCAGGTCGCTTTCATCACATTGCAGTGTATGATCTTTCAATGGTTGTGTTGCCTTTCCGCAAACTCACAGTGGTCGATCGTGATTGTCCGTCCACACGTTGCCAATTCGAGGGTTCAAGACTCATGCTGCCTACTCTGCCACGCACATGTGGCTCGTTTGCTCGATTTTTGCGGTTCACGTTGCAAAGATAGCAACTAAATGGACCATAGAGTGACCAAATCATTTTTAAAGGTGTTTCAAAGAGCTTAAACATGCAGAGAGGCATTGAGAGGCTGGGAAACTGAAAACTCGACACCCACTTCCTGCCTGGTCCAAGCCGGCGGTCTCTTGCACCTGGAGACCGACTTGGAGGTCCAATTCTCCGATGCCGGGTTCAACCAAAGTGAACGAGGGAATTAGAGGGGGGATTAGCCCGAGTTCGTGTCTGTTTCTTCGGAAAAATGTCTCTCTAAGTTCTCTAAGTGTTTTTAGTTCTAGTATAGTGACTTCATCCCTAAGTGTGCACATGGTGTGCACCCTGCACCACCTCTTTGGATATCTGAAGAGTCTTCTCAATCTGAGGGTCGACTCTTCAGAGCTTGGTTCTCACTTAGCATAGGCAGCCATGTGTTTCGGGCAAAAATCCGGTGAAACCAACCGGATAGGGATGGGCATAGAGTCCTTGGGAACACCTGGCTCTGGCTCTCATCGATCCCTCAGAGAGAAGTCGGTCTTTGCTCGTGACTTTGTGGGTTGGAAGGAACGAACAATTCCCCGAAGAGAACTGACGCCCTGCCCAAGTTCTTCCGCACCTTATTGCAGTCTGTTAGACCCGACGAATCCACGAAGCTCTTTGGACATGCAATGTCCACTTCAAACAAAACACCTGTTCTTCACGAACCTAACATGTAAACCGTTGTGAATCCGGGAGACACCCACGTCAAACTGCGCGAAATACGCGCCACACGGGCAAAACGAACCTGGGCGGTGGTCAGCTGGTGCTTCTGCGCAGAGCTTCCGCTCCTCATTGCCACCTTAGGTTTCTTGACCAAAGTTGGGGTGACCGGTAGAGTTCGAACTGATCGGGCGGTAGACCTGAAATATGTTCTTCCTTTTTGCTCTTAGACATTCAAAAATAATACACTACTTTTGTGAAAGGCTACAGCTGCCATCACGAAAACGATTATAACTAGATTGTTTTTGCTTTTGCTACCCAAAAAAACTTGGGTTTTCTATCTGCTACTTTGAAAATCGCACTAAGCTTCACTCCAGCACGGTAGTGTGACACCGCACGTGTTGGACACCGTACAATTCTGTGACCACAAGAATGAAGATTGTCGTCGATCGATGAATGTCCGCCAGATTGGTCTGAACTGTTGACCCTCCTTGCACTCTGGAACGCAACTTGTTGCTGCACTGGAAGTTGCTTCTGGTCTTGACAAAAGAAGCAAGATCCGAAGTTCACCTGAAAGTAAAATCCATATGGTCCAAATCGGTCCACATCCATCAAACCTATGCTGCCCTCCTCAGGCCCAGCCAAGGCGCAGGGAGCGCAACACTGCCGCAGATGAAGAAGAATACGATGTGTTTCTTGCAAATTATGCGGTGAACCTGCTTGCGATGTGTCTTTACGCCCTTGCCGTGGGCCAACAAAGAAAACACATTTCTTGGTCTCACGTAAAAGCGACTGTTCAAAGGAACATACCAAACGATATCATATGCAGAAAGCCATTGAGGTTTGAAACCGGTCTGCGATGTTTCGATGTCAACGGAAAATCTTGTTTTTTGGCCGAGTAGATTCTACTTCCCCTGGCGGGGGGGCCGAAACAAGTCCTTGTAGCTTGGTGCATTGCGGGTTGGTTCAACACCAGATTTGACGGCTTTAGGCCATAACTCCACAACTTTTTGCTTGAAATTGTGAATGTTTTGAGACTCGGGTTGCATCTTCATCAGCCACTGGGTGGATCCTTCCAGCTCGTACAAAGGATGGTAGAAACCAGTTGAAAACCAGTTGAAAACCAGTGGAAAACCCGTCTCTCTTGATTCACATACTGTACTGCTTCCACCCGTGGGCGTTTGCAACAGGTCATCCCAATTCAATGACTCCATGAAGTGATTTTTGGCCAGAGGTTGGTACCTGCCTGATGGATCTGATGGATCTGAGACGTATCGAAATCATCCGTCAACGAATCCACACCAACTCTGCTGGTAATCCTACAATCAGTTTGCTTGGACAAGTCGGAAGTAAATTACAATGAGAAAAGTCTCTATATGTTAACTATGGTAGTTAGTGGCAATTTGTATATGAGTCAATTCTGTGTGTGCTGTGACAACTTGGCTTGAGCCTTGCTGCTGGCGCCAGATCACAGTCTGCCACAAGTCCAAAGAACCCCTCACGAAGACTGCGCAAGCAAGCAATAGAAGTCCTTTCTGGAGCCAATAACATGAACCAATACTCATGGGCCCATGGGTACCTTCTTGTGGTGATCGAATAGAGTGAGAGAGAGACCATTACAAGTCTAAACCGATTGATCAAATTCCGAAGAAACTGCTTCAAACAAACCCTGATCCGGGATGATCCGAACATCTCGGCGTTCAGACTCCAGACTCTTCCCATCAGTCTGGACTAAA